TTCCTGGATTTCAGCTTGCGACTAAATCATTATAATTGCTAAACACACCCCTGGGTCAGAAAATCAAATCGCTGACTCTCCGTCTCGTTTTCTGTTTCAGAAATTCAGGATGCTGGCTCCAGAGGCCGATCAATTCCCAACTCCATTACCTTGCTATTTGGAATTGATTTTCCCATAACACACCCATTAAAACCGCTCCTTTACGTATTGCTCGGCACCAAGCATTTTCTTACAGGACCCTCCAATACTACGTGACTGTTTTTAAGATTTTTTATTTTTTTCATTGGGCTGATTCCATACGTGCTTCATAACACACAACGCAGGGGCGTTCCCACAGTGTTCGACGCAGCTCGAAGTTCTCTTGAAAGGGAACCTCCCGGTCGACTAATCATGTTCCTTTTTCCTGTTTCTCTTTTTGTCCAAAAAGTTTTTTTTTCCCACAGCGGATGCAGTGAGAACTTTCCCTTTTTCGTTTTCTCTTTCATCCAGTGACGCAGTGTGAGAAAATCTCCCGGTTGAATACTCCTTTTCCTTTTTACACGCTTCCTCTTTCTGTCCAGAAAATCTCCCAGTTGAGTACTCATTTTTCCCCTTTTCCCATTTCCTCTTTCTGACCAGCAAGCTTTTGGTCCCACAGTGGATGCAGTGAGAACTTTCCCAGTAGAGCACTTCCGTAATCTCTTTTGTCCAGTGACGCGGTGTTAGAAAATCTCCCGGTTGAGTCCTCATTTTACTATTTTCCTCTTTCTGTCCAGCAGGCTCTGGTCCCACAGCGGACGCAGTGAGAAATATTCCAGTAGGGCACTTACGATTTCTCTTTCTTCCAGCTACGCAATGTGAGAAAATCTCCCGGTTGAGTATTCATTTTCCTCTTTTCCCATTTCCTCTTTCTGTCCAGCGAGCTTTTGGTCCCACAGTGGACGCAGTGAGCACTTTCCTGTTAGAGCACTTCCATTTTCTCTTTCATCCACATTCTCTTTCTCCACATTGATGTGGATGAAATCATACCTCAGTAATAGAAGTCAATGCACAAGAGTGGGTGATAAATGCTCTTTATTTGCTAGTTGTCCTACAGGGGTTCCTCAGGGGTCAATTTTAGGACTGATTTTATTTAGTATTTAAAATAATGATCTGCCTCAAACATGTCCAGGTATAGATGTTATAATGTATGCAGATGATACTGTGCTTTTTACTCATGCAGGAACTAAAGAACTAGTCGCAAAAAAACTGTCATCTGCAATGGTGGAAGTCTCAAAATGGTTAAATGAGTCTTGTTTGTCTCTTAACATAAGTAAAACTGTATGCACGTATTTCACTGCGCGAAAACAAAACTCTGTGAATCCAGATATCATATTAAATGGTGAAGCAATTAAATTTGTGACGCATGTTAAATATTTAGGAATAATAATAGATCAACACCTGTCATTTAAAAAGCAAGTAAAAGGGTTATAAATAATGTTAAATTCAATTTGAATAATTTTAAAAGCATCAGGCACCAGCTCTCGGAATCGGCTGCACTTCTGTTAGTACACACTCTGATTTTACCTCATTTGTCATATTGTATAACATGTTGGTCGCAAGCAGATGCAACTACACTTAAACCTGTGCACTCCTTGCATAAACAAATCATGAAAGTGTTAGATAAAAAACCAAAGGACTTCCATCATTGTACTATTCTGCAAAGGTTACAATTTTTAAATATGAATAATTTTGTGGTTTATACTGATGTGTGCTTGATGTACAAAATTATGCATAATCTTGCTCCACCCCCTCTTCAGGGATGTGTGACCCATAATGGAAATGCAGGTAGGACTAGAGCTTCTGCCAGGGGAGATTTGGTACCACAGTACAGAAAAACAGCCTTTGGGCAAAAAGCTTTCTCAGTTAGAGTAGTGGGGTTGTGCAATTCCCTACAAACATTCGCAGCCTGAATAGCTACTCAATCTTTAAAAATAAGCTCAAGCACTGGCTATTTTTAAAAACAGATTTGCAACCACTAATGACTGAATTGTACTTTATTTGTTTTATATTTTGGTTTTAAATTTTATATTCTACATATGTATGTACTGTGATGTTTTATGTGGTGTATATGTAATGTATGTTATTTTATCTGTTTACCTGCCCAGGGACAGCAGATGTAAACTAGCTATTAGCTAATTCTGGTGCAATTACTTTTAATTGTGCATTGTCCCTGTAAAAATAAACAATAAAATGAAAATGAAATGAATCCAGCGACGCAGTGTGAGAAAATCTCCCGGTTGAGTACTAATTTTCCTCTTTTCCCATTTCGTCTTTCTGTCCAGCAGGATCAGGTCCCACTGTGGACACAGTGAGACCTTTCCCGGTAGAGCGCTTATGTTTTCTCTTTCGTTTAGTGACACAGTGTGAGAAAATCTTCTGGTTGAGTACTCATTTTCCACTTTTCCCATTTCCTCTTTCTGTCCAGGAAGCTTTTGATCCCACAGTGGACACAGTGAGAACTTTCCAGGTAGAGTACTTAACGTTTTCTCTTTCGTCCAGCGAGTATTTAGTCTCACAGATGATGCAGTATAAGAAAATATCCCTGTTGAGTACTCATTTTCCTCTTTCCTGTTTTCTCTTTTTTTCCAGCAATCATTTGGTCTCACAGCACACACAGCCAAAGTTTCCTGTAAGCCTAGATCAGAATGGCCACTCCACGTTCGGCAGACAGGCCCAGACGACTGCAAGCCACCCTGTGGAAGCTACATGGGGCTCTCGGTCTGTCGTCTGTGATTTGCGTGAACAGCTCCCATCAAGAAGGCACAAACTATACCAAATTTGTCATTTCAAATTACAACTGCTCCCCGTTCTCGGGTCAGTAGGGCCGTCAGTACAGGGCAGTGAGCCACCACCACAGGCCCTCCTAGCCAAGCACCAACACCCTTTCTCAAGATGCCAGCCCGCCAAACTCGGCACTCATTTGGTGAGTCTTTAGTTCGGCAGCTGTCCTCTGCTCTCAAGCCTTTTGGGGGGAGTACTCAGGGTTTGGGCTGAATTCCGAGCGTGGAGCCCTTCACCGGACAGCACGCCGAATACGCATTAAACTTTACTCCCTTTAATTGTATGTAAGTGTGAACTCGTAAAGTAACATTATAACAGCCTTCCATCTATAGTCTTGACTTTTTTGCTTGCTGTTCTGCTATTATTCTTATGCACTGACTCGTTCACTAAGCTGAACAGCCAATCTGAGTTCCCTCTTTCATCAGCCCGACACTGATTCAGTAGTCGAATCGGCCGGAAAAAAAGCCGGCGAGAACCAATTTCAGCCGACGATGTGGAACACACTGAGGAAACTTAGTCGGTCGACGTACAAAAACTGCCCGACAGCTGCCCGTCGGCTTGGTGTGTTCCAGGCTTAACATTATGATGTCATCCCTCAAGAACTATAGAGGTTTGATTTGTATATGTTTGCCAAATAGACCTAAGTCATGTTAGGTGCCATATTGAATTTATCATGGATGAAAACAAGGCTGTGAGTGAAAGATCACGTAATTTCAGCGTAATAATTATTATGTTGTTAAACAAAACCCTCCATTGAACACACTGTACTTCTATGCCTCACAGCCTAATTTTCATTCCTGTCAAAAAAGAAATATTACATCCCTGAATAAGGTCTATTGGCATTTTTAATTTGGGTTGTTTTGATTTGGCAGTTAATAACCACTTACATTTCCCTCTGTTCATCATACAAAGTGATTGTATCAAGTGAAAAACTTAGATTACACTACTGGAGTTGTATGGATTACTTTTATGCTAAATTGATGTGCTCTTTGGTGCGTGAAATTTTTGGACCCTATTGACTTCCTCTGTACGGACAAAAGCAGTTCTTCAGATTTCTGCTTTTGTGTTCCACAGAAGAAAGCAATTCATTGTAAGTAATTGATGACAGCATTTTCATTTTTGGGTGAACTCTCCTTTTAAGGAGGTGGCTCAAGGGAGACCACTGATGCATGTTTGCTCTAATTTTGAGGGTGCGTTTTGATCCATAGCTTCATCAGTGAGGCTCTGAGGGACTCAGACTTCCTCAGTCATGACCACACACACTTCAGCAGTAGTCCTCACTGACTCAGTCACATAAATATAGGAGGTAATAGAATACTCTGCTAAAACACGGGTGCGATAAAAGTCGATTTTTGTGTTCCGTTTAATAGATTAAGTATGGTGTTCCTGGAAGTTCATCAATATATATGTATATATATACACACATATCTCAACATATACAATATAGATAAAGTATTATGTCCCTATCTCTTGTCATTCTCTTATCTAAACCCATTATCTGCCTGATAAGTATTTATTCTGTGTATGATATTATAAGCGAGTTTTCCAACCATCAGAGTTTTGCAAATATTTAGTATACAGACTCGTCATGTTTATGCTGAGTGCCGGGTTACACTGTTTATGAAATATAGCCAGGCAAAGGCCCTTTGGGGAAGAGAAAGAAAACCATTCCAAATGAAAAGTAATGATTCATGCCACAGATAGTATATAAACTCAAATACACCCCTATCGGCCCTGCTCCCCCAACACAATTTTGATTGGCTCAAAACAAGGCACAGACAACTTAGTATTGCGTTACTCTAAATACATTGGGGGTGACTATGGTGACGTGGGTGGTCCTCATTCATTATTATAACGACCACTCAACCTGATTGATGTTTGGAGATGGAATTTAATAATGCTATCAACCTACACTCAACATGTACTGCTGTTTGTGAAGTTTCCCATAAAGCTTTGAAGAAGACGCCACTGAACAGGCATTTTTAAAGAAATTGTTTTGTTTCGTGGGCATACTATATAACACTCACATTTAAATACTGTAAGTTACTTTCATCTGTGCATCATAAGTATTGAAGGAGACATATAAGTGATTGACATTCTACACTGGATGAACACTGGGACATTTTGACCTCTTTGAATCTCTCAGTGCACCTTTTTGTTCACTGTACCTTGATGACAAAAGAAAATAGACATTTGGATAGTGACACAAGAAACGAGACACTTCCCAGCACTACAACTGATACCAGATGCACATGTACACTCTGATAACTTGTATTAACTGGGAAATAGTGTCTTTTTTTATTTAGTTTAGCAGAAGAAAACAAAGAATATGCATGTGTGTGTGTAAAACTGCAGACACCCTATAGATACTATCAGCTGATATAATATAGATTCATGTATTAAATATTTATGAAAAACCACCCATATCAGATATTCAGATCAAATTGTATTGAATTTTAGAGAGACAAAAAGTAAAGGAGTCGTTCATTAAGTTCTCAAACATGCTATACATTTTAATAAACATATTGATATTTCTGAGAAGAACCCAAGATAAACCTAGTTATTTACAATAAATGACCATATTTCTTCACATACAACAGTAAAAACATTGTAGACAACTTAAATAACTTTAAGGCGTAACTACTTAAATAATAAAAGAAACAAGGTTACTCTATTCACATGACACCTTCCCAGCAGCTCCAATGCAGGTTTCACATTAAGTGCTAAAATTATAGAGTAGATTTACAGCTTGAACTCCTTACATGTACTGCAACAAAGAATGCTAAAATGCACCGAATAGAAAGTAATAAACAGGCAGGGATTGTTGTTAATTATACTTGTCTTTGGGAGAAATAAGTGATTATACTATAAACATTGAATACACCTGACTATTTTTAGAGGGGGCTGCATTGTGCAAACCTTCAATGAGAAGAACCACATCAAAAAAGGGCTCAATGAAACATGGTTAATATTCATGACCTCACTGGTTACAAATGAGTCTAAAACTGAACAGAATGTACTAGTTGTCTCATATTAGTCTAGTTTCAGTTATATTAGTTATTCGGTAAATAAAACAGCTGATCTGATGAAGAAAAATGAGTTGTAGTGAATTTGCTAGTTCATACTGGACAGAGCTCAACCAACAACTTCTACTACTTTCTAAAAAAAAAAAAATCAGGTTTAGAGGGATACTATGGGATCTTGATGACATCATGTAGCATATTTAACATTCTCTTCTATTCAGTCATGAACAGATGACAAAAAAAAATGTGGCTCTAAATTTATAGCTTGAGTCTCGTTTTAGAGAAACATATCAGAAGGAAAGATCTATCTTTATTTATTTATTTTTTTTATTTTTTTTGTCAAATCAGTCTTGATAGCAAGAGAACAATTTTATAGATTTAAATTATATTTTTATGGAAGTTGTATCTTCAACGGAACGGTGTAAGTATTTGTAAGTAAAATATGTAAAATGATTTTGCAGGCTTAATGCAAAACTGCTCCTCTCCCATATATTATTCCTTAAAAAAAATAAACCCTCCTTTATTAAAACAATGGCAAATCTAAAAAGTACTTCTCAGTAAAGTACTATATGAAATGTACACCAGTCACCAGTCTTGTTCCCCTTATGACAAAACTGAATATGGTTTGTTGTTTCGAAAAAAAGGAGAACATTAAATGAAGATACCCATTGTGTCAAATAACTGGTGAGACAAAAACTGTAGTATTTGCTAAAAACACCTTACGAGGGTTTTCCATCTGAAAAACAAAAACAAACAAACAAACAAAAAAATCTGTGCTTGATATCTCACAGAAACAAGATATATGAACATTTTAAAATATGATAAGATATACAATTTGCAATGAAAGCAGCGTGCATGGTCATGAACAACTACAGGAAAATAGTATAGCTGATACTGCACCTTTAACCAGAGCAGTTACCTCTTTAGGTTAGTTTCTCCGCAAACCAGTCATCTTAATTATTAAATTAATGTAATAAAAGTGACTGTTCTGAACATTCTTAAAGATTTACATTTCATCTAAACGAAACATCAATGAGATACAACCAATTTTCAGTTTTGACTTTGAAGAATCTTCATTGATCGTTTCAGCAATTATATCAAGAAGATGGATGACATTTTAGCAGATGCGTTTTCTAAACTGCATGTAAACTGGCATCAAGTCCCATCAAAACGATTCTCCAGTTATACACAGACCTGCTGAATAAGACTAAGTCTGTTGTATGGTTTTGTGGCTGTACTGACAGCTACTTCCCCTCTCTTCTTTAAACAACCTATGAATCCATGGCAGTGATTTTCTTTAGGGTACAGTTCAGTTTGCTGGACTGTCCATTTGACTTTCCTAAATGAGCACTGTTGACTCCCTAAAATCCCAATTTGTCCTGTAGTACACAGACTTATTGGTGCCCATGTTGGGGTTGGAACGAACATCCGAGTTGGTCTCGTGAAGCTTCCAGTGCTTTGTGAGTCCTCTTGCAGGGACACTTGACTTTAAAGTGGACCAGACATTACACACCATACCAGCAGTGAAAACCGGAGAACCCTGCGTGGTACCTCCAACATGCGACCCCTTCAGCTATGCGCATTGAGGTTCCATTGGCCACCCTGCTATTGTTTTACCTGTGTATTTGTGCATAGAGGTGAGAGAGTGCAGATGGTGTGGGGAAGCATGAAGATCAAAGGCTGTGGCTCATGAAAACGAACAGTGGTGGGAGAGGAGGATCAGGTGAGGGGCAGTTGGAGATTGGGGATGGTGTCCTGAAGGCAAACTCTGAAAGGCCTCCGTAACGTTCAGTCTGCCAACCGGTGAAGAGCGCATTATCATCCTGCCCTACTTTTTATACAATATAACTGGTGAGGTCCAGCAGGTAAGACGTCATGTCAATGATGTGCTCCAGGATGCTGTCTTTCTCACCGTCCCCTCGTGTTCCTCGCTCTCCTTTCTCGCACTGACCGCCGGAGAATCCTTCCTTGCAGAGACACTTGTTGGGCTCCACGCAGACCCCACCGTTACGACAGGTGGGTTCGCATTTGGCTGCGAATGACAAGCAAAAGCAGAAATATGGTTGAAAAAATATTGAAAGAGGTTGGAGGTTTATGCAACTTTGAAATCAAAGACAGAGGGAAAGTGCTCTGATTGGCTCTGTACCTCGTAAGCAGAAGGGGCCCTCCCAGCCAGCACTGCAGCAGCATTTGCCAGTGGGTGTACAGTGGCCGTTCTTGCATTCACGGGAGCAAGTGGTGCTTAGCATCTCTGGATCCTCCACAGGCCGTCTGCACTCCTTAGGGACCTGTGGCCTGCAGGAGTCACAGAGCATTGATGGTCAACACAAGGGGTCTCACAAAATCCAGCTCACAAATTGCCAAAACACATAGTATTTCATAATGCCTTCATAAAGCATAGTATTTCATAAATAAGCAAACATGTGAAAAACTTATTTAAAGACAATTGAGCCTATGATGGTAGGCCATCATGCTAATTTTGATAAATGGAGTTATTTAAAAGACTTTATCAAAAATAAAAAGTACATTAACCCCTTACCAGACAGACCCCATTTTGACATTTACATAATTATGTGATGACTGATTTAAAATTTTTAGTGTATTATTTTTAATAAAAATGTATAAAAATTTGTATCGGCTTAATGGTATTGTCCATAATTTTATTATTGGTGCATCCATATGCAACGACATCCATTCACTTGAATGTTTGTCTATCTCTCAATTGTTGCCTCTGATTTTTATCGCTGTGAAAAATAATCAATATTTTATAATCAATATTTATTTACAGTCACTTGTGAGATGCAATTGTATGCTGATCTTTTTATATGCTGTTGTTTCACAGAAACTTTCAACAAAATAAGCCATTGACAATTACTACAATACAAGTAAATATTCATCATCATAGGTATTTTTATAGAGTAATTGAAAAAGTTAATGTAATGTTCACAAAATGTTCATTTAGGTTTCATCTTGCATCTGTCTGTCTGTCTGTCTATGTACAGTAAGTGTACAGCAAAGATGCTAAAAGAAAAGATGCTACTTCGGATGAACAGTCAGACAGAAAGACAGAATTATTGAGTTGATTAGTTTGATCTTTAAGGATTAATTATTCTCACCTATACCGTATAACCTAAAATGAATGCGTGTGGAAATATGGTGAATGTGATTTCACCAAGTACCACATGTTCCTGGATCAACTTTTCAATCAACCAATCAGATTTGAGGGACAAGTTTACAGTTAATCTCAAGTTTAGGCTAAGAACTGTAACGTTTTTATATTCAGTTCTGTGAGCTTGTTTCCCCCCTGTCTTTGTGATTATGGTTTAGGCCCTGTTTACACGAGAATGCTCGCGGGTGAAAACGTACAAATATTTTTTATCGGATATGCCTTTTGTTTACAAGGTGACAGCGTTTTTTTGAACGCAAAAAAAGTGAAACCACCCTCCAGAGTGGAAATCTTAAAAACGCTCCACCGTTGCGTTCCCGTCTAAAGGGTAAAAACGCAAAAGTCTGCTAGACAGTAAAGGTTGTACGCAGGCGCGCAGACTTGGTGTTCAGTGCTTCACATTGCCACCTAGCTGCCTGGAGTGCATACTAGATCGAATTTCACACACTTTTGCATCACCATATGCACATGGATTCCCCACCCCTAACCAAGGGGGTAATCCATCGAATCCATATGCTCTCGTCACAACTACGTAGTCAAGCTCTGTTTGAGTCTGCGCGTCAGGGACGGAAGTGCTAAAAAATCGCCAAAAAACGGGCTTCAATCGTCTCAATGGAGTTCCAATGAGATCGCTCTGTCCATTTCTTTTACTGTCTATGCCCATCACGATCGTCTAAACAGAATATAAAGTGCTAACGTAATGCCACTTTTGCGTTTTCTATTCAGATGGTTTCAGTGTAAACATAGCCTTATTCCTGTTAGTTTTTCTCTGTCGGTTTAATTAGATATTTTCATCACCTGTGTCTTGTTTATTATCCCGTTAGCCCCAGTACATTTAAGCCCTGTGTTTTCCCTCAGTGTTTGTGGGTTGTGGGGTGTTCCTGTATGTTACTGGAAGCTATAATTTGTAAATAAATCAGTTAAGTTGAAGTTATTCACTTCAACGTAAGTGAAGTGTTATTCACCTTTCATTACCCTCAGATTTTAGGGAAAAGTTATGGGTAGGGTTGGGTTTAGGGGTAGGGATTGGGTAAGGACTACATTTTGAAACAGGAATGTTGATCCAAGATCAACAAAATATGTTGATCCAGGACCATGTCTTACTTGGCAAAATCATGGTGACCAAACATTCTAATGCATCACTCAGCTAAAAACACTGCTTAATGAGCCAGGCAAATCTCTTGAAGGCTGTCTATTAGTGAGCAGCAGGGCTGTTGACATACCCAACAGGCCAGCACACACACAAACACACTGTAATTGGACTCCAGTGAAGCAGTAACTCTATGGGAAACAGGCTGGAGAGCTCTTGGTGAGTTCACATCCTGTGTATCTCACTAGAGGTGGTGTATTGGAAAGTTAGGTGGCCAAAGATTCTCTGCATAACACTGAGGGTTGTGGAAAGAATGAAAGTAGAATCACAGTTTTTAAAGGTGAAGTGTGTCATTTTTTTTTCTATGTAAAGATACCAAACGCAGTTTAACAGAGTTCAGAGACTCAAAATCTATACCGTAACCTACAAAACTATTATATATGGATACGTTTCTCTTCTAAATTGATGTAATTGAGGTGGTTATTCATGGTCAGTGTACTGTTTTTACATTTATGTTTTTCATGCTACTAGTGGTACAGAAGGTACCTTTAATGGTTTAGACTGAGAGCCCAGGATTAAAAGTACTTCATACAAAGCTACAGTACCAATGGAAGTGTCCAATAAACCTCATTCATTCTCATGCGTTAAGCAAGTATGGTTCCATGTTTACCATATGTGCAATTTTCATGTATGATTAAAGGCCAAAATCATTTCTGTTCATCATATAAAGTGATTGTATCTCTTCAGAGGACTAATAAACTGTTCAAGTCACATGGATTACTTTTACGGTGTCTTTTTGTACCTTTGAATGGACTTTTAAGGGATGGCCATTTTTTTTTGTCATTTGTTTGAAGATAAATGAGTCTTACATATTTTGGATTGGCATGCAAATGATGACTTAGAGTGTGTATATATGAAGAGTTCAGATGCAAATGCCTCCAAGTGCCATTTGAAATTTTCTTCTAGAATGATAATTTTTTATCAAGCTTGTATATTTAAGTTCAGTGATTTCACTTAAATGGCAATGATAATTACCTATTAATTGTTATTTAAGTGAAATTACTGAACTTAAATATACAAGTTTGACCAAAATCATCATTAAAGAAGAAAATGTCAAATGGCATTTAGAGGCTTTTGCATCTGAACTCTTCATATAGACATTTAAAAAAAATCTTTTTTAACATGGTTCCATAGTCCAGCAATGACTTGTTTTTATTGTTTTAACACATTGACCTAAACCATTATGATAATTTGTGATTGATAGTCCTATTTCTTCTGCTCGACCACGGCAGTTGCCGCTGCTGTGCACATTTGTTTCCATAAAGCTGCCTGGCAGGGATGCTTACCTTGTCATGACAACAGTTCAAAGTGAAGTGTGATATTCCAAACATTGACTGAACATGTTAAATAGTTGAAGACAAACGCCAAGAGGTTTAAAAAACGGTTTAACCAAACCCAACAACCGTTGGATGTTGGTGTTCATCAGGACAGTGTGAAACAGCCTTATGAGTGTCTATTAGATAATGGGATGTTGGATCTCTGAGTTTCCCTGACAGCTTTAGTGACTGATTGCAGGAATTGGGTGGTAACAAGGGAATTCTGGCAGGATACACTGGGGGGTCTAGTGGGGGAGCAGTTCCCATGCTCCCCTCTAACGCTTTCCGCAACCAAATCAGGTCTCCCTTGTCTCTCATCAACACTTTGTTGTTGTTTTTTTTTTTGTGTGTGTGTTGTTGTGACAGGCTGTTACGTTGTTAAAAAAACAGGGAGACAGAAAAGATGAGGAAGAAAGAAATAGAAATGGATAGTGAAAAAGAAAGAGAGGGAGGGTAAGGAGAGAAAGAGGCGCTCCCTAGAGGATTGGGCTAACACTGTTAATGACGTTGGGGTCAGCGGCACTACTAAACAGTTTGTATTACTGGCAGGGTGGCCATGAAAACAACACCTGCTGCCGTGGCACTTGACAAAGACAGCTGGGTCAACAGGCACTGTGGGAATGTATCAACTCTGTGAGGCCACTTGCATAAAACACAGACTGATAAATTAAAAGAATGCCCCAGCTTATTAGTTTAAGACTGTCCTGTAGGTTGAACACATCAGCAGCCCAACCACTTTTTTTTGTGAATCCAAGGATTGTTTGGCAAAGCTATCCATTATACCAGTTTTCATCCCTGTTCTGGATTTTCCACCAAGGCAGAAATCAAACACGAAGCTGAGGAAGTCAAAGTAGTGGAAGTTATGGATTTTTTGGTTCCTCTTACAGTATGTTGATTTTAGAAGTAGTAGTGTTGAATTATGTGGAATTGATTTAGATGTGTTGAACTAAAGAGTAATAGACACTAAAAGCCTAATTGATTAGCCACAATATTTCACAACTGAAAACGCAAGAGATGAGAGTCATGTAGAACTTGGTGAATGAATACAATTATGTGGAAATCTGTAGACCTTTCTGAGGAATTTGAATTCTGTGTCTCGTGGGTAATGAGTCCGGTATCTCTTGAGCTTTTCTCTGAGAAGACAGTTTAATATCTCTTGGCTTAACTTGTTGGCTTTGATAGTAAGAAGCAGTTGAGTTATTTGATGAAAGCAAGTGCACGGGGTAGAGGGGTGAGGAGCTCAGGAGTGTTCGAGCATGAAAAAAAAGGCTTCATCAAGGCACTCTGTGTGACTCCTCTGTCCGTTTTGTCATCTCTCTCTTTTGTTAGCACTTCTTTGTTGATACATTGTATCAAAAAATTTACTGTGTATTGTAGCTGTAGGCCATTCAGTACCACCCCTAAGAGTCTTTGTTAAGGGGAGGAACACGGTTTTGAGCGAGAGAGATTTAGGACGGACCATGAAATAAAGAAGACTTGTCAGAGATGGGGACCAGGAGAGCACTATTTAAAGTGTTTGTATATCTTCACACATACTTAGGCCTAATTTTTTTTTTCTTTTACTTCACCATATCGCTACAGAAAAACACTTCTACGGAACCTATTCAATACATTTAGCCAACAAAATCCAAAGTCGAGGAAGATTCATTGTTATATTTGCTTTTTGACATAACTGATGCCGTTCTGATGCTGATTTCAGAAGTCACTCAAGTAACTCTCAACCAAAACTCTGCCACGCTTACTGTTCTAGTGAAGAAGCAATGAGAAATGTGTTCCTGTGATGCATTCCTCAAACATTTCTTGTGGATGATCTTATAGAGGTGTCAGAACAGGGTGTATATTCCAAAAGAATCACTACTAAGTTCTCACTTCTAATTTGTAAATGTGTATAAATTGCAAAGCACTCTGCAACAAATATTTTTTTCTATTTAAATTGTAACGTGAGCAAGGTATATATATATATTATGCCTCAACCCTACCCAGCTCTACAGCGCCCTACAGAAAAATGGAAAAATTTCAATTTTCACATTACTTCACGTAATATTAGCTCCGGACCAAGACAATATCAATCCACTTCAGCTATGTGTATATTAGTTTGCATTGGGTCATAAAGGGTACGTTCACACTTTGCATGTTTGGATCAAATAAAACGAACCATGGTGTGATTGCTCTGTTAGTGCGGTTCTTTTGAATAAGTGTGAACGCTACCATTCGCACCCTACAAGCGCAAACGAGCCAAATACAGGACATGATGTCACAAGACGCAACCCTAAAAAGATCAGAATGCTCGACGTTACCTTTTTTTCCTCATCATAGTCGCTGTTTTGACTCATTCACACATTTTATAAGCTTTTCACAAGTTTTTAGCTGGTCAAAATACAATCATGTAGGCTACGCACATACAACGAGTGCATTTAGCCCAGCACACAGCATTGTTTTGCATTTTTGGTAAGTTCCGTCCTGAAATATACAAGCATAAAAGCCGACCAATCAGATTGTGAACGCATCCCTGTGCCGTTAAGTTTGTTTTTTTAGGTTCGCTGTTAAAAATGCCAAATGTGAATACTAAGCGGACCAGGGCTAAATGTATGAAAACACCCTAACGTGTCTGTTTTTTCCTATCTGGAGTAGTGAATTAAATGAAGGAAATTAATTGAAATGAAATCAAATAAATGAAATCAAATGAATTAATGATCAGTGCTTTAGTTAGAATGTGTTCATGTGAATAGCCCTTATCTGCCAAAAGTGCTCTGCATGCGTTCATTGATTAAAATATAAAGCTTACAAAATGTTTATCATAAACTAGCTCTAAGACCCAGAAACTGCCCTAACTAAATTTACAACCAAGAGCCGCTACTGATTTCAATACTGAATACATCTGGACTAGTAATATATATATATTTATATATGGTATAAGACTGAAGATGTGAGTCAGTTTATGTTTAATATTACCAAAACAATTCATACATAGTTCAGTTACTGGCATATTCTCAGTTATTGCCGCCGCCCAATAAACAATCTTACAGTCTCTCTCTTGTCCACATTTGACATCGAAATGCATACATTTCAATGTGTGGTGGACTATTTATTATTCTAAATTAAAGGGCTGCTAAACAAATTCAGATGCGTGCAGTCATCTCAAAGACTAGACTTTTATATGATATGATATTTACCACTCTCTCTTCTACCTCACAGTTTTACAACCCCAAAATGCAACGCAGCAGATCAAAATCAAAACAACGTGGCTATTTTGAAGCTCTCAACCCTAGCCAGAACTCAAAGGTTAAAGGGTACAGAAAAGATGTAAATGTAGATACTTGAAATGTAAATGCTGGACCACCCCACTTGACAGTGCTAGTCCCTCAGAATTGTTATATCACCTCTTTTATTTGGTAATTAGATCACAAAAAGTGACAAGATGTATAAAACAGTGAACCCAACACCACAGGTCTGACAGACTAAACAACTTCAATCAATGGTGGAAAGAATTGTTCTTCGGAAAAATGCAGCAATGCCAGAAAACATAAATAAAGTAAGTTTGAGGGGCCTTGTTTAGGAGATTCATGGAAACATCTGTGGTAATTAATAGCATTAGACTTGGGTGGCACTGTCGTCACCTGGGTATACAGTGCCTTGCAAAAATATTCAGGTCTTCAAGCAATTTTCTCTCAATCCTTGCCTTGAATTCCTACAAGCAAATGTTCTCTGCAATTTCTGCATTTCATACTTTGCATAATGATTCAATAAACAGAATCTCTTAAAAGTCACTTTTTTGCAGAAATGGCAATTTCCATTTATTTAAATGTGATATTGCCTCATTCTTCCAGGCAGATTTGCTTCAGGTTTTAGTTTGGACTGGAAACATGTTTGGCTTGAGAATGGAGAGGGCTGGACACTGACATTTTTGTTACTGTAATTTTTCCAGACTGATACATATTTTTCTTTATTTTTAACAAGATACCCATTCCTGCTGATGAAACATAGCCACCCATGATGCGTTCACCAGCATACTTCACAGGTAGTGTACACCAAGATGTGGCCAGTGTAAGATTTGTGCCACACACATTGCTTTGAATTTAGGTCTTATCTGGACCAAAACTGCAACATGGCCACTTCTAAGCAAAACTTCAGTTGCGTCGTATCAATGGTCCCCTATACCCGTCAGTGTTACAAAGAACTCTTTATCATATATAATTGACTAATGCACCTGTGCCTGGTTCTTAAAAACTGAACTTTGTAGCTTTTTCCAAAGTGATCATAGCCTTTCTGCTTGTTTGTATGGTTTAGAGTTTAGAGGAACAACCTAGTCAGTGTCTGGGTTGCTTCCACTTCCAGATAATTGAACTGACAAGTGACAATCCACCTCTTTTGTACTTTTCTCTGGAAGACAGTTTTCTTTATCACAGCCTTCAGTCCTCACTTAAATAAGGATGTCAATTATAAATGAGTTTTTATTCAGATACATTTTTTTTAGAGTTTACATTAGACCAACTGCGATAGAATTGTGGCCTCATTATAACCATACAACTGTGTAAATTAACAGAAGATGCAAGGTGGATCTGCAAATTATTAAAATGTGAGATTTTTCAGCTGTTTTCAATTTCAATGCTTTGATATAATGACAGATTAAATAAGCAAATTTTCCACAACAACAAAAAACAATTCAAGAATTAAAAAAAAGATTCTGTTTTTAAATTATTTTACCTGATAATTGTACGTAATTTATATAGTTCTAATGGTGTGGTCCAGCAAAAGGATTTTGAATGGCGTAGAAAGCACAAAAACAAGAATCATGAACAATTGGTTTGAATTAGAGACTCAACTGATCTGCCTGTGCCTATTGTAATGTCCCTTTTTTCTGGAAATGATATATCGAATCTATTAAACATGCAAACACTTTTGGCAGTCGTTATGTGGGAATTCATACGCTCATTTCTAATAGATGATATGCCTTTCATATGTACTTGGCATGGTGAGAACATATTTTCAAGATCTATCATAAAAGTGGCTTTTAGGGGTGTAAAACACACGGGGTAAATTACGGCACTTAAAAAAGCCCATGAGCACACAGAAATGATTAAATCCTTTAACTGACTCCATTCACATGCGTTGAATCTCTTGCCGTGAACCCCTGCATGTGTACGTAAATTGGGTACATTTTGTTTGTCTGCAGATTCACCAAAATATGGACATGCTCAAGGTTTTCAAAGAAAAAAAAAAGACAGGTGTGTAAGTCCTGCCAAAGCAAGGAAAACACCCAACCGACCACACAGGCTCACTAGATAACCAGCGCTGTCCGAGCCAACTTGACTGTGTTGGTGTTAGAAACACGTTACACTAACATTTGGAAATGGTGTGCTTACTCTCCAATTATGGCTGAGGTTTGTGTTGGCCAAGACTGGCAGTTGTGTGATGATTTGTTTAAGGGAAGCTAGACTCCTTGTGCGTGCGTGTGAGTGAAAACAAGTAATGCTTTAATGGGATAGTTCACCCAAAAATGAACATTCTATCATTATTAACTCACCCCTATTTCTTTCTTCCGTGGAAGTCAAAAGAAAGCTATTTTTTTCAAATGTCTTTTTGTCCACACAATGAAAGGTTCAATGTTCACACAGTTCAATGTTGTTTCGGACCCCAATGACTTTCAAAACCAGTTTTAACATTCTTTAAATGACCTTCGCTCTCTTGGTATGAACACGCAGATGTGCAAAGCATATCATGTTAGAAGAATGCCAGGGGATGTTTTGTAAAGCGGAATGAAAATGGAATTAATTATGCGAGGTTCAATATTAGCATTGCTCAGCAGTAACATCACACATTTTTTGCATGCGAGCGATGAAAACGGAAAAACAGAGAGGCTGACGCATAAACTCTATTGTATACAATATGTTGCTTTGTGTATTCAAAGCTCAACGCACCTTTTGGGATCCACCAACTTGTAGAGTTTTCCGCTGTTCGACTGTATCGCCGTGCTTTTGCTGGAGGCAAGGATGTAGACCTCACCTGCAGAGGAAAGAAAACATTTAGGCCTTTGAGGGAACTCATTTGTCTTCTCTCACCTTCCTTCCTTCCTACTCGGTGCACTTGACACTGGTGTATGAGAGGGTTTCAAGAGGGGCTCATTAAATCCTTATGCAAGTAATTTAATGAGGAGCAAGCTTGCAGCACTGTGCACAGATTGTAAACATGTGTCAGGAGACTGCCATGTGGGTCTCCAGTACAGTCCTTCCACTGAATCCCTCTTACAAATCAGCAACAAATGCTATCTCTCCCTCACAGAGGCCCACTCTTGGCAAAGCATGAGATTTATTCTCTGTCACACTTGACCTGGTGTTTGGATTCGAGAGTTTATGTTCCCTGTGATGCACTGAGCTGTGGGGATATTACATGGTGGCAGAGAGTAGAGCCTAGCAGCAGCGAGTGGGCATAACTTTGCTTTCGCAATGGACTGTCAGAGGGGCTGGCGTCAGGTTCACATAAATGAACCCCTTTACAATTCTAGTGCCAAAAATCAGTTGTTACCAATGTTAAATGTGCACATAAGGAAAGGCAGCAGATTGTGCATATAAACCTTTTATGCTGACCTGTGATTTCCAATCATACCGTCTGTCAGCAGCAAAAAAGTGGAAGTAATCTGTCAGGAAACTAAAGGAGTACTGTGTCATTCCAGAATGTTCCTTGGAGGAAAGATATTTGAAAGAGGGAGGTAGGACAAGGGATTGGTTTTCTTTCTGTTCTGTATCATTCAGATGACCTTTCCGTGACTACGGTATACGCATTTTAATATAAATCAATCACTTTATTTGACCTTGTCTGAACTAAACAAATGCTCTGTTAGCATTTTTTTTTTTTTTTGCATTAGTTCTTTTGAAAAAAATGTCTGTATTTACACTACTGTTTTATTTTTTTTTTAAATGCAGTAAAAACCCTGATATTGTAGAATTTATAATAACTGTCTATTTTAATGTTTTAAAATGTAATGTATTCCTGTCATGGCAAAGCATCATAGTTAGTAGTCATTACTCATTTTGTCTTACTATTATAGTAAAAAAATAAAATAAAAAAATATATATATATAATTTTTTTTTATTTTTATTTTTTTATTTACTTATACTTATTATTATAGGATTCTTTGAAGAATAGAAAGTTTAAAAGAAGAGCATTTATCTGAAATAGATATTTTTTTTAACTATGTAAAATACTTTAAAAAATGTATGTATCCTTGTTGAAAAAGCAAAAAAATAAAAATAAAAAATAAAATCTTACAAACCCCAAACTTTGAAAACCTTTATAGGGCTGGGCGATACATATTGTATAAGTTTGGGACATTTTTACTTTATATTGATTAATTTAACAGCCAATCACACAGTAGAAATAAATATGACAACAACCAGTCAGTACAAGTTGTTTATAAGGGATTTATTTGTGTCTCTGTGTGAATAAATGGCATGGTTTTGTCTAACACAAACTCACACACATGACGCTCACAGTGTTTTCAGCATCTGCCGTCTCAATATATGAGGACATAAACAAATAAGCAGCTTTGAGAGTCACTTCACAAGCTTTTCACCGTTCAAAAACTACCTTCAAGTGCACTAAAACTAAAATATCTTCATGACAAAGCGTCAAAATAAAAGTTTGAAATTATGACTGAAATATATCACTACTGTATAAAAAAATGGTTCTGTATAAAAAAATATTTTCATTAAGCTGTATAAAAATGATGTAATGGAAATCATTTTTTATATAGTTCAGGGATCTCATTTATAAAACTGTGCGTAAGATCCTTACTAAAAGTATACATGTGCATGAAAGCCAAAAATGTCATACGCATAAAAATATTCAGATTTATAAAACCTGCGCAGAATTCACTTTATAAAATCCAATTCAGCGTAAGATTGTGCGCATATCTCCTCCCCGAAATAATCATGTATGGAGCTTACAATGCCTAATTTTACTATCCTCATCTGCATATTTTTTCCATATGATTATTCATCCACGTGATAACGGTACAAGACATTAGGACAATATGAGATACGAATGTGCCGTCACATTACATTAATAGTATTAACAGTATTTTAATTGATTAATATTTTTAATGGAGACAGATAGGCCTTCGTTGTGCATTGTTTCCACAGAAATATTTTCTCAGACAATCTGCTATTATCGTGATAAACAATTATCTCTGTAGTTAAAACATTAAAACACAGCATGCCACAGGATAAGTGTTCATTTATTTAAACTTTTATTGTGAACATGAACTGTATTTATGATCAGGACTCATAATGAAGATTTAGGGTTTCACTTAATCTGCCGTTCACTAAACGGCCCAACAAGCTCGCTGGCACGCATATTTAAGAAGGGATGGATATTTGCTTCAAAGTGATAGGCTTGATGAGTGAAATTATATTTGTATTATCTTTCTGTATATGTATAATTTTCTGTCTAAAAGTGACCAAAAAGACATTTAACTCCAGCTCAACATCGGGTGTTGCCAAACTGCTCCATCTCAAAAACGTTTGTACGCATGGATCAGAGTTTGCGTGCAGGTCCATAAATTTTCCAATCAAGTTTGTATTTAAAAATCACAACTTATGCGTCGGAAGTGGCACATGCCTCTTTCAGGGCCTGTTTTGTGAGTACGCAACAGTTATAAATGAGGCCCCTGGTGCGTAGCATCTTTTTGACAAAAAATAAAAATGCAATATTTTGTTGTAAATTAACTTTTATATTTTCATTTGATTACATTGTAAAAGCTTGATTAAACTGTTAAAGTTTATATAAATTTCTATTAAATCATAAAGGACAGATTCCATAAAAATAAAATGGAAAACAATTACAGAAGTAAACATTTTAAGTAGATCAAAAACTTTCATCAAAGTTATACATTAATTTTGAACAATACACGTTTTTGTCTTTGATGACCATTTTTGATCCAGTTGACTACTGTATTATGTGGAGTTTAATTGTGAACAAAGGTCCAACAAATATGTTGAAAGCATTTCCGTCCCCCTTTAATGATTTATATTGTATGATATGGTTTTGCCCTAATACTTAATACTTAATACTTAAACTATAAAATAGTTTTTAAAGAAACCACCAAAAAAGGTTACGACAGAAGCACACAAAATTTGCGGTGAAATGAATAAAACTTATTGAGAGCTCACTGACCTAATTCATCTTCGCCAAACCCCAGGATGTGGCCTACCAGCGAGGAACCACAGGAACTGCTAGTACCAAGACAAAGAGGCTTCTCTTGCCACAATCTGTCTTCCGAAAGCCTCTGGAGAATTCTGAAGTTCCTGAGACAGTCATACAGTCAGGGGTTTAAATCATAAATACAATACTCTTTGCTGTCATTTACCATGCCCTAGACTTGAGTGAACATCTTGGTTATTATAAAACATTTAAAAAAAAAAACATTAGGGATTATTTACTGCTTTGGATTTTCTAGGAACAATTTATTTTCTACACTTTATCTCTCACTCGTTGACAAAAAAAACGGCAGGCTGATAGTGGAGGAGGATAAATTAGAAAATCAGAGCAATGTGTGAATAATATACCGGTGGCCAATTGACCTGGCAGGAACCCTGCTCTCAATTTACTCTGAAAAAAACTATTTTTCCTCATTGGGAGCTCAATATATTTTATTCCTTTTTTTAGACACATAACTATTTCAGTCTCTGACTGCGTTTAAAGAAATTAAAGATACACACCAAGTTGTTCTAGTAGTGCACAGATAGAAAGTAGCTTAGCATAATTAACAATAATAATATCAAATCCAATAATAATTGAACATACCCATTTTTGTCTCCAAATACATAACTTCCATAAAGTCTTCTTGACTGACATCCCCTGTAAATGAATCCACCAACTGGGGTGGCACCTCCATTAGACGCCACGTCATATATAGATGGTTCATTTTCTGTGGGCAGACATACCAACAACTCAATATTGAGGAAAAAAAAGCAAAACCAAGCAACAGGTCGACATGGGATTTATTGGTTATTTGAGTTAAATTAAATTAACCCTAATAATCTGTATTGTTTAGATAACTCAATTTTACACATTTAACAAACTAAATATCTTCAATCACCACCCTACATATGTTGCAAAGTTGATTTATAACCATAATAACAGTTTCCTTTGTTTGTGTAAGGGATATCCATGTTTACCACAATCTGTCAAGAGACCATTAGCACTTCACACAGAGTGGTTTTAATTAGCTATTCCCCAGATGGTTATAAAAACACTATGTAAACTTGATATGGAGGGCTGTGTTCATTTCACTAAATGTCCTTATTAACATTTAGTTTGAGCACTGTTAAGTTCACATTATAGCTCAAATAGATTAGGGAATGGACGCGAGAGGAACGGAGAATGGGTGAGGTAATCCAACAATTACTATTGAGTGTTTGTGTATATTTATTTAAGTTTGTATGGCTACAAAGATTACAGCAGCTTAGGGAATGGCGATTATTATAATATTACAGTCAGAGCCCAGTAAAACAACAAAATGTGATTTAATGAAGTAAGTCATTCACCATGGTAATGGTTTAACATCGTAAAGAGCCTGGTCTTTGGGGTAATTTGGCACACTTGTGGGACAATATTTTTGGGGTTTAAATGCATTTGTTGGGAGAGAGCCATATTTGTTTGCTGCCAACGTGTAAGGAGTAAAAAAAAAGCCAATCCAATTCTTCTATATATATTCACTTCTGGTATTGATTTAAGGTCTTAGTCAGAAACGACTACGAGTGAAGAACTGCTATGTTGGTCATTCTATGTTTCGACAATACACTAAATGACCATATAAACACTTTTTGGACAGCAATACATTATATTGTTGTATATGCTTGCATGCTCCCAGGAATGAAAATTATTTTCATATTTAAAGAATAAACAATAGTATTGCAATGGTATTTTTGAATAACGCGTTGATCGGTTTCTACGAAAAGTCACAAATCTTTTTTTTTTTTTTTGGAGTGTTCCCTCATTCCATTGAAGACACTCTGTTCCTTAGCATTCTGAAACACGATACAGAAACTTCTTGAGTGGTTGTCTGGTTGGAACTACTTTGCTTGTTGTAATTCATCACAGTAATTCATCATGTTTTCAGAAATCAGCCACGTCTAACAGGCATACCATAGTCTTTCCCTTTGATGACCTGTAGAATCCTGCCTGATGTCGTATTTTTGCCAACAGTATCTGTGCACAGAATCAGAAGACTCCCATTGGTGTCCATGCGGAGCTTATCCACTGCACACCTAGAACACAAATTGTTATTTGTAAATTAATCTTTCAAGACAGCGGCAATGGAAACAACACTCATATTTTTTTTATATATATTACCATTCATTTAATTATACAATATATAATTCTATTTCATAGTTTTGGCAAGGTCTTTTAATTCCAGAAAATTCTTAAGGCACACAATTACAATCTAGAGAACTGTGAGCTTCCAACTTTGTGGTAACAGTTTGGGGGGGCCCTTTTCCAAAGCGAGGTCCATAAAGAAATTATTTACAGCGTCTGTAGTAGAGGACTAGCCAGCACAAAGCCCAGATCTCAACCCCAATGAACTGGAAGCCAGACCAGTTTCTGACCTCACTGATGTTCAAGTCTGAATGGGTGCAAACTCTCGCATCCATTTTACAACATATAAATGGAAAGACTTCATAGAGCAGCCATTAAGAAGAAGGACAGACTTCCAAACTATCAGTGTTTTTTAAATAAAATGCCCAACAATTAATGTGAAGTTTGAATGTCTCCTTACATTTGGCTATAAATTGTTTTGGGGTTTTTTTTTTTTAGAAAGTAAATTCAGTGAAGCATTTGACCTTACCTTCCTGGGTCATGCAATCCATGGGAAAAGATTTCAGGGGGCTGATTTGTGCTGTTAAAATAGGGGTTGTTTCTGGGTATAGAGTAGGGCGGACTACAACTATCTGTGTCCACATCCACTCGAAGGACAGATCCTGTGAAATCACTATGGCAGAAAAACACACCATTGAACATATTTAAAACAATCCTGAAATTACTATTCAGCCTCATAGCTTGACTCATTAATAGAGCCTGATTTATCACAGTTACTGCATTCAATACTGTACCTTAGACCATCCATCTCCTCCATATCGTCCAAAGTGATCATGCCATCACCTAAAAATATGTGCAGAAGCCCATCAGGCCCAAAGAGGAGCTGACCTCCCAGATGCTTTCGGTGGAGCTCAGCTACTTCCATTAACACTCGAGTAGTCCTCGTGTCCACCTGGTTTGGATTTTTCCTAAAACCAAATATTACAATAAATACATTTAAACACAACTACATCCATCCATTTTCCAAACCGCTTGCCCTACAGGTGAAACTCAAAAAATTGAAACATTGTGCAAAAGTTTTTATTTCAGTAATGCAACTTAAAATGTCATTACATGCAAAGTAAGATATTTCAAGCTTTTTTGTTAATTTTGTTGATTATGGCTTAAAACTATGAAAAGTTTTTTTTTTTTTTTTTTTACAATATTCTAATTTTGAATTTGGGGTTTTCACAAACTGTGAGCCATAATCCTCCAAATTATCACGAGGCTTGAAATATCTCACTTTTATAATATTTTCAAAATATTTTATATTAATATTTTAAAATATTTAATGATTCTCTATAATATATTACTTTCACCTTTTAAGTTGAATTACTGAAATAAATTAAATAAATTAACACATAAAAAGAAAAGTCAACAAACTTGTGTAAGCACGATTATAACTCCAAACCAGATGACACTGGCAAGCTTGGCATTTAAAAGGCTAATTTAAAATGTGATTACAACAAAATGTATACTTTTGAGTCTTGTATACAGCATGTTGTATTAATTCAGCTGGGGAGCTAAAAACAATCAGAATGGATGTGAGCTATCATGATAATTATATGTTGTGATTACATTTCTCTATAAACCATGCATCACTGTCAGTGAAAGCATTTCATGAGGAGCTTGGCTTCTCAAGACGGATCCAAAACCACATGGAAAACAAACACTATGCATGCACGTCCATGTGTAAAGTGTTTGATCCAAGGCCCTCACCACATATTGACATTGGGGGACCAAATTTGTGGTTAAAGCATGGTTTTGTCATCAACAGATTTTTTCCTTTTTTTAAGACAATAGTACTATGTTGTTGTTGGTTTTGTAAAGCAAGAGGATAGTTTGACAATATATGAATAAGAAGGAAGATAAGTCCTATGATGGCTACAACTCTGATTAGTTGCCCCTGTGCTTGGTCAAGCTGTGACTGGTTTCCCATTACCTGGATACCGTGTACTCGACTACACGAAGAATGTGGTCGTGTGGTCCGATAGCCCAACGCTCCTGGTTGGTCGTGTAGGAGACGTAGAACTTTCCATTTTTCTTATAATTGGGGTGGAATGCAAGGCTTAGCAAGCCCCTTTCATCTCCTCCCTGCAAGTCAGATGGGGTACACAAAGAATCCAGAAGTTAATTATGTCCCTTTTTTTAGATTGGCCTGGGCTGCAAAATGCTTGAGCAGTGCCCCTCTCTCTCTTTCTCTCTCTCTCTCTCTCTCTCTTTTCTCTGACTTTCTCCATCTCAGTCTTTCTCCATATGGGGGCCAGTTACCCCATGCCCTCTTGGCCTCTTGCTTTTTTTTTTTTTACCTCCCCTCTCCTTGACTACTGAATTACAAATGATTATAAAACATTTGACTTCACGCAAACCCCCTCCACACCCCACCTTTTCACCAACCCTGTCTTGGTTATAGACGCTTGTATTTGGGGCCAGGCTCCTCTGGGATGCCCAGGACCTCCTTGCGGCCTCCATTGTGCAAGTGATTTGTGTGTGTAATCTTAGGGGGATATCCGTGAATGCAGTGCTGAGTGGCTGAAACAATTCATTAGCTCACTCGCAGTTCATAGAGAGCACAAAAGTCCAGGATTCCTTTAGCATCCCAACCCACCCCCCTCTTTTTTTTTATTTTTAAACCCGTGCAAAATTTGAGAGAGGCAAGAAAAAGAATGGACAGAAAAGAGAAAAAAAAAACTCCCACTGTCTTGGCAACAAGTTGGAAAACATTGAATTTGCTTGTGTAATAGGTAAAACCTCTCATCCCGCAGGCAACTACATGAGTTGTCACTACTCTGGTGGTCCACTCATCATAGCCTGTTGTAATAAGCAGCTATGTTAGTTAGTTCCAGGGGAAAGTAATAATGTTGGACTTTCTTCCCTTTCATCTTCCCAACTTTGTTTTCTTTCTGGTAACACAAATGAAATGAATGAACGGATTGCTAAGTGTATGCCTCATGAATGAATGAATGAATGAATCAATGAATGAACCAACGGGTTTGAGGAGAATCCCTGTAAAATATATTGTGATTTAATGCTTTAGTATAAGACATAACGGCAGTTTAATTACAACACATACATTGGCTGTCAAATAAGTAAACAAACGGAGTTTGTCATTAGTTGAAATTAGCTGTCTGGGCCACCTCTGCGGCATTCCTTTCTCATTTTATACAGGAATTTAGCAAAAAGAGGTCTTCTGTGGATTGCTGAAGTTAGCGGTGTGGTTCAGCACATGGTACACGCCAAAACATACAGATCATAAATTGGTCAGAGCAGCTCTGTTGGGCTGTGCTGAAGTAATCCAATTCGGATAGGCTTCAAGTGCTATAGCGCTTCATCTCTGGAATGCTTCAGAGGAGTTCGAATTGGATCTGTAGGCACACGAATAATAACACTCAGGAGGCCTCTTTAGTTGACCACAAAGCAAAACTTTGTGGTGCCCATTAAATGTCTGTTCTACATTAGTCAAACACAAAATGAGGTTGGGCTGAGTTAACAGCAGGTTGATATCATTTATCCTTTCTCTGCATTTTCAAATGAAACATTCTTCCTTTCCCCGAAACTCCCTCCCAACATGTTGGACTCCTGATGCACTGACCTGAATCCCAAAACAAACACAGAGGGAGCAGGTCAAGTTAAGAATTCCAGAGAGTCGTATGATCTCAGGCCAGGGACCACCAAAGAACAACTGTAAATTAGCTGAAATATTAGCTTTTTGCTAATGATCGTTCCTTCAACAAGTAGGCACAAAAAAAAATCTTTACTTTTCCAGGACCATTCCTCTGGGTGCTACCAAAAACTTAATTAAAAGAAGACAAACGTCATGATAGCCTCCCTCCATCCATCATAGCTGATGTAGGGCTGTGAGTACAAGCCTCAGCTTAGATGCAAAGCTAGTACATATTGTTCTACTGTAGCAGCCACAAGAACTTTTGTTAGACACTTAATTAGGGTAATCTTGCGGCATGCTGATGTCGATAACACACTTCAGCTCTAAAATGTGGCTTCAAAAGAGGTCCTATGCTATGTTATTGTAAGCATTCTGTGCACTGCCTGTTGCTTTGACAGTCCGAAGATTAGGTTGTAACAGCTTCTCAGCAAGAATGCTAGTGAGGGGTCAGATGAATTTGCAGACAGGAACAGAGCGCTATCGCCTCCCTCCAAGCCCCCCACTCAACCCATTGGCAGCTGCTTGCCTTTCAGGACTTGATGCATGGCCTGGCTTGCACATTGTTTCTGAGCACCTTTTGATCCTTATTGGCTCAGGCAATCCTACATAAAGAGGCATTCCACCCGAGCTGATTGGAGAAAAACAATGTGTGCCTACCTCAAAGGCAATCTGAAATGCTCACACTAATTCAGAGCTCCATTTAGTTCAACACAATGAATCCCAAGACCCAAGTCAAATCCCCCTCCTCCACCTGTTAACACACATTAATCCTGTGGCAGCACTGGAGTTCTGGGTGAAGATCGCTCATTTTCAAACAGTGAAAAGAGCAGATCGAATCGTAGGATAATATTCACTCATTGCAGAGGCAGCTCCACAAATCTTCTGAATGGCTCTATCACAGGTGCTCATCCTGTCTCGGGGGTCCTCGCAAAGTCTAAACCTCGGCCAGGAACTCAGAGGAAGCTATGCAAGATGACAGTAAAAGCAGCGGCTGTTTCTCAAAGAGGAGTCAAAGGACGAGAGAGGAAAAGGTCCATTTGTCAAAGCTAGGATACTTATTTTTTGACAGAGTCAAGAGCCCTCCTGCTTGTCGAGCTGAAAAAGCTCAACAGCTGTCCGTGTCAAGTGACAGAGTGCACAACATGCTGTGATCTATTTGCTTCGGCAAGAAATATTTTTTTTGCAGCTGGACCCTTGAGTTAGTTGATACACCACAATGGAACTGTGTTCACATTGCATGTAGATGTCTTCTTCACTACATCTAGCAAGGACAACAACAAAGAAGCCATACTTGTGTACCTTTCACATCAACATGGAACTCTTTCACGGAAATAGTTTAGAAGATAAAACCTTTAGGGCGCTGAAATCTTACACTTCAGGATTTTGCTTGGTGCTGTATGACTATTTTTCAGCATCTGGAACCCGGTAACGTGTTCGTGCGAGACATCCCAAATTAGTTAACGGGTAGTTAACTTTTTAAGAATCCAATAATAGCAGTCTTACTTTACTGAAACTAGTACAAGGTAGTCAGGCTGGTGTGGGATTGCTCTTTAAAGGCTAGCCCCAGATGTGAGAGTGTAATAAAGTAGTTTGAAATAAATCAAACTGGACCACAATCCTATGGCATACTTGCACAGCAACCAGTGCAATCCACCTTGCGATTAGGGATGGGACGATAACCGGTTTCACTATAAACCGTGATAAAATGTACTGACAGTTAGTATTATCGTTTAAAATTTAATTATCATTAAAACCGTGTTTGATTATCGCGATTTTAATAACTCACTGAATCCTGTCGGCCAGTCTGACGCAGGCGCGCAGCACTCAATATTTTTTTTAAATTACTATTTGAGAAGGAATGGCAGAAGGCAGTGACCGTGCTCAGAAGATTTTTCAGCCTTTTAAGAGGACCAAATCTGAGGTGTGGTCATATTTTGGGTTTTACAAAAGTCCTGAGGGAAACTTGATCGAGGATGGTCATCCTGTCTGCCGAACAAAAAGTCACTACAATAGAAACACTTCAAATCTGCCGAGTCGTCTTGTGTTATCATCACCCGAACACAAGGCAAGTTAACTTTGACCTCAATACCAAAACTACGTCTGGGAAACAATTGGGCACGAAATGTTGTTTTGAGTTGAAACATTTTATGTCACTCACTTGAAATAGACGTCAAGCTTCCGCGAAGAAAAGTTCGTAGCAAGTGGATTTGAGCCAAAGATGAATGAACAACTTCAAACAAGACTATTATTAAGAGTGATATTTTAAGGGATAGTAAAGTATATATACATCACGTATTAAACCGATTTTATTTTTACCACATAATTACGGGGACATATTGATAATGAGGTTAGCTAATGTTTTAAATCTTACCTGTTTATGAATTCATTTTGTAAAACAATCGTCCAGATATATCACACCAATATTATCAAACTATGTAAAAAATAAATCAACTCTGATTTCATTTTTGCAATACAATCAAAAACCGGAGACGCAAGACGGCAAGTTGTATTTGAATGAAACAAGAGCGCGCGTCCGTTGTGAATGTTATGGATGTGCGCTGTGTAATAATGCGTTGCTATTGACGACGGGCATTATAAAGAAGCAAATGCCATAGAATAGAATCTTGCTTAAAAAAACTGCATAGAGAGACTGGTTTTATTTGTTGTTTGTTGATTTTCAATTATAAAATGAAATGAAATGTTTTCATTGTGAGCATCAGTTCTTTTTGAGCACTTTCATAAATTTTTAACAAAAACCGTGATAATATTGGTAATCACGATTATTTTGGACACTATAATCGTGATATGAAATTTTCATACCGTCCCATCCCTACTTGCGATATCTACTGTATGCAGCAGAAGCAAAATGGCAAAGATGTCTATACCTGGCCAAAACCAATAAGGCATTTGGTATTTGATCTTTGACTCTTTTATTGGAAGATCAGAATTTGTTTCAGTGATAGATACGAGTGTCTATGATAAATAAATAAAAATGTAGCATAAAAGAATATGGTTTCATATGGCTTTAAAAAATGTATAATTTATGCAGCAATTCACTCTCTAAAAAAAGTAATGTAGTGTCAACTAAAAAGTCATAACATATTCTCAATCCTTAAATAGTTTATAAATGGCATTTAAGTTTTTGGGGAGTCATGACATTTTACATCCTGACCTAACCTTACCTTGTCATAAAAAGGTCAAATTATCTAATTTTTTCGGAGATTTATAGGCCTTGACACCTTTTCCTCAGCATGTTTCTGCTCGGTTGAACCACTACTTTGATTTGGTGGACAAAGGTCAGTTAAAATGTGCAAAAAGTCAGTTAAAAAGCGCAAATCACACAGAATATTTGATAATGTCACACAGTGTTTGTGTGTGTGTGTGTGTGAGTGAGTGAGTGAGTGAGTGAGAAGAGATATGGTTTCATCAGAGAACACCCACAGTGCTCTGGAAGACTCCCTCAAGTAGACAGAGCATTGTTTTCAAGCAGTTTGGCTTAATTGGCAGTGAGGGGATTGGGCTTGAAGGAAATACAGAACATTAAAATCAAAGTCCTGATAAAACACTATCATTCCCCTTCATGCCCAAGTTAGGTCCCAGTGGGTCTCGAGGCCTTCCACGGGCACAAAGGGCACATGTCCTGTTGATGCTCCAAGTAAACACGGCTTACTCAGAATGACTTGGACAAACTTGACAGAATAGCACTCTTGGGGAAGGCTGGGGCTTCAGCTTACTCTAATTGTCATAATGATTGCTCTATCCACAGCCAATTATGTTTAATGATGACAAGGCACATTTGGGGTCTTTCCTGTGGGGCTGTTGCATGTTGACTCCATAATTTCTCCTTCTCCCTTTATACAGTAAGTGAAGCAACAGGAGGTATGCAATATACATAAACTTCCTGTCAAAAAGCAGTCATCTTCCTACATCTCTGGACACTTCCTAAATGAAATGTTCTCGAATTACAGAATGCCTCAGTTCTTGTGGGGGCAGATAAACATCTGTTGTGACACACGCCATAACTACTGCTGACAGACATGCATGTAAGCGAATGCTACAGCTGGCAACATTTCAGCCTTTCTCACTGATCCTCAACAACAAAACACAAGGTTTCCTCTGCTGGCAGTCAAGTTGACAGCAAGCAAACCACACACATAGAAGCCCACATACAGAATGCATTTGTATAATAATATAATTGTTGTGCCAACACTATTTTTGGCTTCAGTATCACCCTCTATTCAGCTTTTGATTTGTGGTGGGAGGAGAGGAAAAATGGAAATAAATCCATAGAAGTTGTTATTGTGCTCTTTTAAGATTATATTCTGTTAGGGGGCTTCATTTCTCCCACCTCGGCTTTGTCTGAAAAGGTGCCAAACCGAAATGATGAACAACAGATCTTTCAGGTTTCAGCAAAGCTTCCTGATTTATGGAAGACAGACTTCTCTGATGGTGGGAGGTCAGGCTGCATGAATTTCAAATAGCAGCTAGTTCCTCATCAGAGGCAGATATGTCAGTAGTTTTGGAGAGAAAACCTAAGTTTAGCTAAAACTCACATTATTTTTAAGCATGCTACTAAACATTAGAATGCTTATCAACTAGGATACAATTCTGAATAAACAATCCAGATACATTTTTTGCATTGTATAATATGTTGTAGGGGCACTCTGTCATTTTGGTAGATGTTGTGTTAGACAACATGGCATCTGTCTTGGGCTCTGATGCAACAACATCATGCTAAATAAATAGTTTATAATTAAAGTCACAATCAAACGGAAGTGACATCTTTTCTTCCATACTGTTCCAATCAGAGTGGAATAGATTATTGTACAAAAAAATTATGTAGGGTGAGGACTTCTATCCATCCATTGTTAATTGCATTTCGAGATATAGTCATTGCGCTCAAAATTTGATCAGATTGCAGTCGCTTTTGAAGGGGCGGGATTTAAGCAGACTAAATGACTGGAGACGTTCGGCATGCGACACTGCAGAGAATTCATTTTCACCAGAAGATCAAGTTGTGATATTTCGATTAAACATTAAAAGGCCCAAAAAATTGTACTTACATGGATTATTGTTCACAACATGATCTATAATATGCATTTACAAAAGAGAGGGAGAATAGATTTATGAAATTACATTGTAGCTGTATAATTTCCAACTTCTTTCGAATTAGAAGCTCTGAAATAAGTTTTTCAGGCCACTGACGAAACTGGAATCTTAATCTGACATAAGTGACCATAACTGTAAAAATGCATCTCATTTTTATTTCTTTATGTATAACACATTTTAATGAAGAAAAAAATCTATATTTTTTGTCAATCCATCCAACTGATAACACTATACCAAAAAACAAGAGCCAAGTGCAACTTACCTTCATACCGCTTTGAACCAGTTTATGAATGTCCAGAAAGGGCTCTTTTAGGAGCTGCATGTTGTGTGTTAGGATGCGTACAAAGCCTTCCTTCTCCAAAATAAAAAGCCGCTGTGATCCATCTCCACAATGCACCACACCAACAGGCTGTCGAAGACCACTAAGGATCTCCTGAGCGCAGTAGCAGTTGTGTTTATGTTTTCTGTATGAAGGGAATGGCAAGATTAGAAATTTTGTTAGATTAGCTTATGCATCAGGCTTTAGAACTGTTGTCAATTTTTTTCTGTACCAATCAAATTCAAGAACAATGAAAGTATATTTTTTGTTGTTAAAAGTATGTGTAAAATTGTGTAAGTGGAATTGTTATAAACAATTTTCCTGCTTGACAGGACTGATTAGGGAGTAGACTGAATAAAACGCAGTGGAAGTTCATTTAACACAGTCAGACTTTGGGGGCTCTCAAGCTGTGAAACAAGTGTTCCATTAACCACAAGTCACATTTGATGTGGGGACACGCCAACTCACATTATGCCTTAAATAAAACGAGGGCATCAGCGGTTTGGGTGCTCCAGTTAACAAGCAGTTTTCAAGTGATTTTCCATAGATGTAATAGGGGGTGGACTGGCAGTGAACGCATGTCTGACATCTCGTGCCTTGAGCTGTAACGTCAGTCTGACGCTCTAGCACTTTGCCTGATCGGAAATTCTGCTTTCGTGCTGGGAGATCTGAATAAGAAATATGACGTTTGTTTACAATGACTGTGGGCTCAGGGCCTTCTCGAAACACACAGTGGATTCACAGCTCGTGATTATTTGTCTAAGAAGGTCACACGAAAATGAGGCATTTATCACGGTTAACATTAAACTGAGTTCAGCAAGAAGATGAAGGTCACACTTCACTGAAAGGTGTCAATAAGAGATCAGGGATGTGATTTTCTTATAATGACGTAACACACTGCTTAAATTCCATAGTATGATGCATAGTTGTAGGGATTTAACTTGCTAGTGACCATTAGTAACATTGGTGACCATTAGTAACATTAGCAACCATAATAACATGGTCACACCTCCATCGTTTGAACCACGCTGGTTCAACGAATTCAGACTGTTGTGAATGACATCATGCAGATTGAGTGATAACTTCTGCTAATTAATTTATCAACATCACAATTGTAACATTGATAATTATTATAGTTAATTTACACTAAACAACCATAAGCATTTCTATATATTTCTATATAGAAACAATAATCTATTACAAAAATAAAACAATGCAAATTTTACACAGTGTTAAATATTACACATTAAAAAGTGTATAAATCACATGTTTTTTAAAAGTAACATAAAAGTAACACTGTCTAAAAGTGACACCATAGCAGGTAACGTTACAGCAGGAGTCCATGTCTCTCTTTTCCATTGAGTTTTAATTAACAGACCCCCTAAAGCGTGCTGTGGGTAAATAAGTATGAATGGGGGAAAGTCACTTTAGAGGGGAAATGCCTCCATGACTGGCTATGATTGGTTTGCACGATAAATCCCACCACTTTTCGTGAGTGTTTCACGTACGAAAATCAATCTGAATGAACAAAATGATTTCATTAATGGGAAGACTAATTAAAAAGTAAGTAAACAGCTAAGCCAAAAAAATCTAGCTTGAAATGCCATGAAAACATGATGACTGTGGGCAGCTTGGTGAAATTAATGGTAGTATACATCTTTATGTCTGTGACCAGTTTTTACCGAGCATAATAATCTGACAATAAGTTGACTATTCAAAGAACAGCTGAATAGTCAACTTATTGTCACAAATAAAATATATTGTGTAAATTATTACTGCTTAAATTATTGAATGCATGTAAAAATGCTTAAACACTAACTTGATGAGATTTATATTTGGTTTTAATAAATAGAAAAATGATTACATTGTTAATGTAAAAATACAAAATTGAATTGAATTTTTTTTTCTTTGTTTCTTTTTTTAAAGTAATGTTTATTTAACCAGGAAAATGTAACAACACTGGAACATGAATTTATGTTTGATTTATTTAAAAAAAAATAAGTCACTTGAGTTTTCTGAACCTGCCTTCTAAGAAATCTGGTTGCAGCCATTGAGATTTTTCTTTTTCTGCCCCATCCAGGTAGTGTAACCACTGTTCCTTCACATTTGAACTTGCGAACTATGCTTCCAATGGTGTCTTTAGGAAAAGTTTGTTACTTCGCTATGTTTTTGTGTCCTGTTCCATGTTTCTGAAGGGCAAGGATATCTTCTCTTTACTTTATGGACGATTCTTTTGACCATATTTCTAACATCCAAATCAAATGTGACACGTAAGTTAACAAACCTAGCCAATTCAGATATTTCATGTGTTCTAGCTCAAGTACACCTGGTGCAACTAATGAAGTTGCTTGAAATAACACCTGTTTTGCAGATTTGTGCTGTTATGAGGGATTCTATTCAGGGGGATGAAATTTTTCTGTTGAATTTTGTAGAAATCACTTTAATTGTGATTACTTTATTAATTTGTTGTGTTGAGCAATTTCAATTACTTTTGTTTGATTTGTTTACTGCAAACAGCTGAAAGTCTGTAAATGTTGCCAATAAATCTGATTTGCAATGGGGGTTGAATCATTTAGATTCAGTAGAATGTACAACGTTAGATTGCCTATATTCCACAAGAGCATAATCTATTTAAGTCCACATATCATTCTAACAATAAACTATGCTTCTAAGCACAGATCGAGAGTTTTAGTTCCAACCACACAAATTTGTGATGCTGTTTGATAATTTATGTTGGCACTATGGAGTTGGGAAATGCCAAATCGTTGAACTATGTTAGTAACAACGGAACTTGTGACCATAGTTGGCTAACAATGTTTTTGGGAAACACAACCCAGATCTGTTGAGTCCTACAGGTGGTATTGTTGACTGCACATATATATCCATTATTATAAGTTGTGCAAAGTGAATAACACTATTCGGACTGAGGTTACAATCAGCAGGATAATCAGCTATGTGCTAATTTTTTCTCAGACCAGGTCTCAATTGACATCCGTCACAAATGGTCAAAGCCTTCTGACTGTCACTATTGGATCAGAGCTCCTGCAGTATAAGCACTTTCTTTGTGTTCTTAAAGCTGGCTAAACTCAGTCTGGACACAAAGCTCTGGCTTGGAAAGGGAGACAGTGGACCAGTCAATGAGTACATGCAGGAATGTTGTGACATGGACGTTTAGTCAGGCGTGTCTTGTCTCTGGTGACCTTGTTCAGGCTACCCTTATGACCAAGTATTCAAAGCAACCCAGTCATACTGGGACATGGAATGACGGTAAGAAAGCTTCTCTCATGACCGATAATGAATGTTGTTACAGGCAGATGTCATTACACATGTCATATAAAATGTCATTTTGTAATTAAGCACCCTTGTGTCAATTTTGAATAAAAATTCTATTCTATTCCTCTTTTCTAATATTTTCTAATCTCTTTTCATGTGTCAAAAAGGAAGCAACATGACTGTAAAGTACTCCATACAACTTCACTAGATTCATTCGATTCCAAATTTTCTGAAGCCATACAGTACAATTTGTGACTAAATCAAAGTGGTTATTTATTAATAATCTTCTGAGCTGATCTTCAGAACTAGTTACATGTAAGCTCAAACTAATTGCCTAATTGCTCAAACTAAGGGATTAATAAAGCTCTAAACAATAGTTAGTCTAAATCATTTATGAATTATTCAAACTGGTTTTGTGAACTTGATCATGCGGTTCATCAAAAATAATGATTAGGTCTCAAATCAGACATTGTGACTTCTCTTCTATACTCGCATTGACGTGCCAAGAAGCACTTGGGCAGGTGTCAAGAGTTTTGTGAATGTTTTTTATTGTTTTTTAAAAATATAATCATATTACTTTACTTAAGTCAAGTGGGCCATTAGCATTTTAAAGCTTGATAGCCCATTTCACCTTCATTGTAGTACAAAGATTGGCGAGAATATTCTTTAGAAATGAACTGTTTATGTTCTCAGAATTTTGGGTGAACTATTCTTGTATGATTTAAAAACTCTATTGAATATACCATATAAAACAAACTAAGCTTAAATCCGAATTGTGTTTTCAAAAGTAACTTAAAAAAAATTGTGTGTGAAACTTAAATATACCTGTTAATCCCTTCTATTTTTTCATCTAACAGGTAGTTGGAATCTTGGCGCAACTGCTTTCGGTGAAAATCTGGAAAGCACAGCCCTCCATCCTTCCTTCCATAGTACTGGCAGAACTCATCCACGTCGGCTTGGAACAGTTCTAAAAAACACAGACAGATAGACAACTGGTCTCAGCCTGAGATAGACACCACACAGGGTCCATTGATGATGTAATAACCTCCAAAACCAACTGAATCCCCTACAGTCAAAGCTGTACTCGAGTCAAGTATGTCCTCAGCCATCAGACTGCTTATTGTGTGGGCGTTTTGGTGGTGATTCCGGTGCCAAGCTTAATTCCAATCTTGTCTATGGTGCATTTATACTGGTGCATTTATATGGTGCAAGTACTGAGTCTCAAATCAAGACATTTGTTTTTGCCTCTCATATCTGACAAGTGCAAGCCACGGTCATTAATACTGGTCCAGATATTTAACCATTTGTTCTAAACGGTCATATTTGACAGCGCCACATTGATACACACTTCTGAGTGCTACAATTATGTGATGGTTGAACCCCAGTGAGGTATTATAAACCATTTCAGGCATGTGTGGTCCGTATGTTGAGTTTAATTAAACCCAAAAATTCCAAACGGTCAATGCTCAATCTGTATCTACTTCACTGTTATATTTTTTAGTAGAAACATGCAGGTCAAGTCCAAATAAATGATAAGTGCACACCCAAACTGATTGATTATATTTCAGAGATTAGGTTTGCTTGCTTACTTTCAGGGAAAACACCCATATTTATTTCTCCAATAGTAGCCAAGATAATTCCACCATCTAGAGCTGAAGAATTTGCAATGAAAAACCTGAAAAATCAAGCATGTGGCAATAATAAATCGTGGTCAGTTTCTAGGAACTGTCTTCCTTTTGGCTGAATGAGTAGTAAGACGACAAGGGGGGAGATCAGGACTCGGTTTGGGAGCCGACACCAGCGTGACCTAAAAACCACACTGATATGGTTACCACCTTAGCTAAACCCTCTCATGGGGAAGAGTAGAGCAAATACAGCAGTGATAGAAACACAAACACACTCCTCTCCCTTCTTTCATCTCCAACAAGTCCCCCATGCTGTCTGAGGAAGGGGGCTCTGGGTGGGAGTGAGGCAGCAGAACCAACAACAGAGGTGATAGGATATCCCTAAACATCTAAACACAACAGTGAGATCAAACACACAAGCACACCCAACACTACCTACACTCGCACCGCCATGCCACCCACACACAAACTGGTTATCTTGAGCCTGCTGTTGCGAGAGGTAAGGGTCTGGGAGTTGTTGTCAATGGATGTGAGGTCAGAACCTTTATGCAGCTCCCACACTTTAAAATGTCCATAATGTGTCTATGTCCTTTCAATGTCAATGTTATTTCAGATTGCTGCATATGTATTTTTAGAAATCATTTTGATTGATTAGGTCTGTGCTGATGATTGGTGTAGATATATATTCTCCCAAAACATTTTGGAGCAACAGACCAAGTCTTAAACGTCTATTTGATTAGATTTGTCATCCAGCTCTGCAATAGCATTGCTGAATACTTTAAATGTGTTATACAATTGAAAAGACACCGGCTATAAAATAAATACCTTAGAACTGAAACACTTTGTGAAGGGGACTGAATGTAAACAGCATAAAAATATGAAGGCTTGTTTTACTCTTGAAAACCAATGTGCAATCATGGTCTAAAAACTTAATGAAAAAACTTAAAAAAATATGTACATGAATGAATCACATAAACTGTCTAATTTGAACAATTTATAACTTCCCCAAACATGGCAAAACCACTGTGTGGCCTTAACTATAGTCTCAGCCTCTCCACAATACTTTTGAGTTTTATTGTACTGGCCTACGAAAAACAGGACAGAGAGAAAAAGTCTCCACATCCTTAGCGCTATAGTTATACTTCCATCTGGTTATCTTCCAAAGCAACCTGGGTGGCCACCCAAAGTACTTGACATCTTGATGCACTTCAGCAGTTTTACATATACACAACCTTTATAGAAAAATAAATGTGTCATTCGTCACCACATATGCTGATTTGGGAGGCGAAGAGGGGAGGGGGTAAAGTCTTTTGGCCCCGGCTCCTGTTCTCAGAGACTTTACCACTATTTCTCTCTCTCTCTCTCTCTCTCTCTCTCTCCTTCCCATACGCTTCCTCCTTCAGCAAAAAGTTGAAACGGACTGCACACCCTTATTTATCTGTTTATGGAGGAAGACCAAGAGGTAAACTGTATGTATACAGTGTCTGATTTGTTGGTCTATCCATATTTCCGTGGGTGCATATGTGCGTGTTGCTCTCTGTTTGCATATCAGCCCCCATCTAATCTGTTATGGCTGCGCTGATAGGAAGAAGGCTTGGTCTGGCGGCCAGCTTTCTGCATACCATTCCATCTGATGGAATGCATCATGCAGCGAATGTTGCAACACTATAGTGCAGCTATGGGTTGTTTGCTCCTGATGTCATTCGTGTTTGTAAGAAAATACAAACCTCATGATGCCTTAGAGCTTTTCAGGTCTTTGGACTCCTCCCCTCTGCCATCTGCCCCCCACCAACCCCCCCCGACACACACACATATTTCAGATGTTTGTCTTTTCATTGAACGTAGGCTGCCACCAAGAAAAACAAACTGATTATATGCGAGCATTGCCTTGAACAGCCCTCGTTTTCCACTGCTTCCTGTAAAGTGTGTGTGTTCTGCTGGTGAGCTGAGGTGTGAGTATCAGTCATGTCTAGACCGTAGTCAGACCACGCACACACACACATGCCCAGAGAGAGATGCACATAAACACCAAACACATCTTGGCAGACTGTGCTGACGTAAAATAAGATGCTTGCCAAAAGACCGAGGGGAAGAAACAGGTCATAAAATCATTCATTTACAGCTACAGATTTTCAAGCTTTGTTTGGTGCATGTGTCCACCGATGTGTGTTTACATGTAAGCTTAACAACTATGATTAAGTTTGAAAAGCCATTACATGATTTTTGAGAGATGAAAATAGGGAACACTGAATGAACCTCAATGGTTAATGCCAATGTATCAACATAAAGAAGGATGGAAGGATGATTTAATAAAGATTGTCGAATGAGACTGCTTCAAGGTGGGATCTGAGCTAAAGCATGATTTTGAATTCTCCATTCTGTTGGATTCATTAATAATCCACAATAAAATATTTCATATTTCATTTTAAATATAACACATCAAAATAGTTTAATTGTTACCATTCATATATTATATTTTAAATTTTAAGCTTTTTTGTGATACTTAAGTCATTGCAAGAGTTAAAAACAACCTGCAACAAGTGGTTCCTGAATGGCATCTGCCGAACCTCAGATTCGGGTTATGCGCAACAAACTTCCATATTCTGTAAAACAAGTTGCATCTCTTCTCAGGTCTTTTGTAAGTGCTTCACTAAACAATAAAACAATAAAAAGAACTAGCAAGGTTGGTGGATTACCTTAAAATCCTTAGATATCACCATAATTTCATACTGCCGTTAACATTTTCCCCGACAAGTCGATGCAATGAGACCAGTTTTCCTGTTTGTTCATGTGACACTTAGCATAAAGTCTATACAACTTTTCAGTCTGATACATTAATCAATCTGAGGTCATTTGTTCAGAATATTTCTAATACATGTGTCAGAAGAGTTATTGAGAATCGTTATGCAAAACAATAGGATATGTTTCGTTTGTTACCTGGTACGTGTCCCCGGCAGGTATAGTAGAACTCTTGGCAGTAGTCGTGGCAAAAGCGGGGTAGATCTTGTACTCTGTGTGGTGATTTTTCGAGTTTGGGTGAGTGGAAGAGCATCTGGGCATGTGGTGAGCAATGGGCACACTTAATCTCCTCCAGAAGTCTAGAACACTCTGTGTTATTGGTTGAGAAGATCTGAGGAGAGAAAGGGGTAGAACTGTGGTTCTAATTTAATAGTTAATTCATATTTTACTTATGCTACAAAGTTATTCCTATATAATGACTGTATATCATTAAAAAAACTATGCGGTTTGACACACATTTTTTGGAATATTTTCTAGTTAATTGGATGCAATTCAAATTCTAAACATCTTTCTTAACAAACACCACACATCCATGTGGACTTGATTTCTCCTGATTTGTTTATTTGAGCTCACAAACAGCTCAGCCAAAATTGCACCTCGCATGGCAGCTGAGAGCTGAACCCATGCTGGAGCGAACGGATCGAAATGAGGATACTCAAAATGTTTCTTAAGACACCAAGCAAAAGTAAACAGTAGATTAGGGCAGTGAAAATGAGCAGGCTTATTTATGTAACAAATTAGCTGTAATAAAACAACAATGTAATCTGCTCCCTTCCTCAGACATGTGCCTGGGCCACAGCAGTCTGGTAAACCTCCCTCTCTCTCTCTCTCTCTGTGTGAGGTCCATGTGTAAACACCAATTTACAGATAGACGGGCACATCATTCCTGTGCTGGTATCAACAAATTAGCAGTCTGTCCAAGTCAATTAGACCAACACACCCATCAGACAGCGTATAGACAGCCTAGCTCCTTCCCTGCTCTGCATAGTAAACCATTTGGACAGATTTCTTTGATTTTGATTCTCCAGATTCTTTCAAGTGAATCAAAACCATCTTTGTGCCTGGAAGATGAAACAGTGTCCAAAAATGTATTGACACCTCCAAATGAACCAGGTAGTTTAACATGTTGTCAATTTTCAAGCTATGGTCTGTCTTGCAGTGGTTGGTCTGTTACCCTGATCTGTGAGTGGCAACTCTCCTGTTTTAAATTGCCCATTGATTTAGTGAGCCATGGACTGGCACACGGTCCATGGAGAGAAGCATTTGTGTGCTCTCAACCATGCGCTCTTCCCATATGTTGCTGGGATAGGCTCCAATATTGCCATCAGCCTTACTAGCAACAAGAGGACCTTTGTTTTTTTGTGTTTTCCCCCCCAAAAAATGCCAAAAGTTGTTCAAAGCTGCTTCAAATCACACCACGGTCTACATCACTGCCTTTTAATACCATAGGTAACTACTGCTGAAACATGCCAGTTCAAATAAGAGGCATATACGAGTTTAGGTCCAACTGTCCATTACTCAACCGAGATTTTGGGAGGCTTGTTAAAAGCGGATTTTGGGAGGCTTGTTAAAATGGTTATATATCTACATTTAGATGACTATTCATGTTTATATAGTGAAATCTGAGCAGATGTTGGGATCATCCATCACAGCACACAATATCCTTTGTCACTGGAACTGACAGAACAAGTGTAAACACACAAAGATCTGAAAACAATCGATTGTCATTAAGCGACAAACAATAAGGGCAGCTACACCCTCAAATGTTCTCAATGAGGTGCTGGAAAGGTGATCGAAGTTACCACAACTATAGCAGTCATCAAATAGATTATAATGAATGAATCACCTGACATGATTCCCCCACCCCCCCTCTGGGAATTGATGTAAGTAAGTTTGGGGTGGGGAGTAGGACAAATGCTCCCTCTCAAAGGCATTAACCAACACTTGGACAGAGCCAAGGACTGGGGGAGAATGATGTTCTCCAGCTTCACCCATTAGTGAAACTAACAAACACAATGGTGTTGTTGTTATTCTTTAGCCATAAGCAAAAAGACTCCGTGTGTGGGCAGTGTAGTGGGGAGGAGGAGATGTCGACTCTTTTTTTGTTCCATTCAGCCTCGCTCTTATTTGCATGACTTGAGCAAATTAAATGATGCAATATGGCTTTTTGTCACAAACCGACGTGCGATGCCACCCAGCCGCGTATGTCGATTTGCGGAGGTTGTTTACATGAGAAAGGGGAGATTTCTCGGCATAGAATGTGTTCATTGATAAAACTATTGAGATGAATCTTCTCACGTCTATAGAAAGCCTCAAATAGGTGCGATTCATTACCGATCAAGAGACATTTGTGTCCCATCTGTTTTATGTAAATCGTCCATCACTAAGAGAAGCATGCTGTCAATGAAACATCAGCTTGGAAGTCGCGCAAAATAGGTAGTTTACAAACATTTACCTGCAGAAACACAGATTTTGAGAGCCAAACTGATTAAGAAAACAATATTTTGCAGCAGCGAATGATTTCATTCATACGCGTGCCTCGTGTTCACGAGTGAATCAGGATGGAAACTCTGCACGCGTTCTTGCCTCCGTCCGAGCTGTTTTACTTGTTTGTTTGTTTGTTTGGGTTTTATTTTCAATGCAAACACTCGCGCGACGTACGTGTTTGAGCATTGCGAAAGGTATCACTGTGTTTACCAGTGTCTCATTCCATGTTTTTAAGATAATGTGTCAAACAAGTTCAACTTTTAAAAACGCGCCTCGAGACTTGTGCGTTCTATTTTCGCTGCACTCACTGTTCAATAAACGCGTTAAATGCATGTTACTGTATACTGCTCACATGTAGGCTATCCATATGTTCATTACATAAATTCCCATTCTTCTTCTGCATAGCCTACTGTTGTAATACATTTATTAACCAGTTGCCATAACAAAACACACATGACAAATCACTTGCTAATTTGAGGTTGCAAAAGAAGCCTGAACATACCCGAGCATCTTTCCGATGGATTATTTGATAAGGAGCCCTCCTGGACGGACAGCAGGAGACGCGAGGATAGAGCCTGTGACAAACCTCCCCTCCACCGCTTCCCTCCAGTGACAGTTTTCTCTCCTTCTTCTTCAGGCGTTTCGGCAGACTTCCATCGTAACATCTCCTCCTCCTTGGACTTAATTCTCCTTTCTCACCGAATTTCGCATCACCACATTCCCAAAAATTGGCCGCGACGGCCAACAAGAGCACAAATTGCAAATGCTTCATTTTACAGGGATTAAACCAAGCGAAACACGCGACTGCTCAGAAATAAACAGGACTGCTGTATGACAGTCCCCACGCGTCCAGAAAGTTGTAATAAAATAACTAATTTAGACTAAGCATAACAACTAATAAAGTAGTCTGAATTAAATTATAGTTAAGATATTAATAATAAAAAAAAACGATAATAAATTAAGACAAGTGCTGGTTATGATGTTGTTAAAATGAAAAAAAAAAAAAACTGATATTGTATATTAATGCGAGATTAAATATAAAACATAAGAAAAGTGATCAGGTTATACAGAAATCGTAGAAGTATACGTCTCCTTGCCAAAAAGTTAAATCCCGTTGGTGCGCAAAGGTTGATGCGTGAGATCAAAAGTTGCACTAAGTTGTCTGTTGCATGCTCTTCAGTGCACTCACATGTTTCTTCTTTGCTCTTTCCACCTTCTTTTTAACCAGCGCGCGAGAAGGGGAACGCGCACGATGACGTCTATCCAGTCCGGGGACGCGCATCATGGTGTAGCCTACGTAAAGAAAAGGTATTATACATTATAAAAGTTTTAGTAATTTTAACGGGGGAAAATGTTAAATTGCGGCAGTAAAAACCACTTATCTTCATATTGACTATAAAATATTGATTTTTTTTTTAGCTGTAAGTAAGAATTTATAACATGGCAGATCATTCCCAGATCATAATTTGTTTGTTTTTAGTTTGTTTTTTATATTTGTTATCAGCTACAGTGAAGTGTCTTGTGATCCATTTTATATAATTCATTTCATATTATTTGAATTTTTTCACAGTCATGTGTCACCCAGATATTGTCTTTTTTTCCTAGCACTGATGTGCTGAGTTCATGTAATATCAAACACTATAAAACCCAAAGTCTATAATAAATGTTACATTTAGCACTTCTCTCTTTGCATGTAAATGCTGCTTGCACTTTTCAAGAAAAAATCATACACTTTCTAGAATTGTTGTTTTTTTTTACATTGAAGTTTGTGGTATACAAATTAATGTTATTAGATATATTAATATTAATAATAATTATACTAAAATCACTTATAATATTGTTAATAGAGGATCAATGATTCCCCTCGTTTAAACAAAGCTACAATTAAATAGTGTAAAATATACAGTCACCAACAGTAGGCTAAATTATATTTTTCTGACAACCACTGGTACCTGTTTTTACCATAAATGGGATAATATGCCAAAAAATGACAATTCTGTCATCATTCCCTCACCCTCATTTCATCCCAAACCTGTATGACTTCTTTTTTTTGAGGGTGAGACAACCAAAGGATGGATTCCATTCCATTTTATTCACACACAGATACACACACACACATACAAAATAATGTATACCCTTTGCATTTGCTCTTTAGTTCAGAGTCATAGACTTTGCGGATTTAGATGAGGAAATGGTTACTTAATAACCTAAATGCAACAGATAATGTAAATATGTATCTCTCTATTACATTATCTCTCCTTTATTGTATATTTATTTATGCACTTGGTCAATTAATTATTTCTATTAGATGCTGCTAACATCCAACAGGTCTGTAGGAGATCAGGGGCTACAACAGGACAGTTTGTTGATCTGAGTGTCTGACACTCTCACGTTAACAGAGTTGTGAGAATGTCTGGCATTCTTGCTCTTCAGAGGGTTTCTGATAAGACTAAGCCAAATGCAGGGCAAGTCTTCTTTTGTTCTCATCTATAGAGATCTATTGAGATATCTTCAGATAGCATGTCCAGAGGGGAATATCCTCTCAGAACAGACCTTAGTTGCATTAGTTGCAATCAGTCGCATTACCGCACCTGTTCATCCTTGGGGGTCCAGCACTGACCAGAACACTGGCTGATTATCAGCAGAGATCAGGAGTTGCAGGAATCCACAGTGATTGGACTGTTGGGTAATTATGGAAATGGCCCTGAGCATTGAACAGCCTGCCACCTATCCAGCCAGGCCTGCTCCGTGTTCAGAAGTGGGCCAGCCTATTTTATCGGTCTCGCTGCATGGTAAATATGACATGATTCACATAGGAGGTCCTTGAGAGATGAATTAGACTGGTTTGTGATCAGTCCAGAGCGACATGACAACATGTGTGATACAGCTGGGGTTTGGCAATACATCTGCTCGGAGAGATTTAACCCTTCCCATTGTGCAGAAGCTCCAATATTCTTCAGGATATTCTCGCCTTCTTAAAGGGTGCTCCCAAGCACTTGCTGTGGTATTCTGCCATAGTTATCCATTGTGCAACGTTTTATTTTGTGTCACCATTCTTGGTCGATTTAAGCAACTTGTGTAACTGTATTTAAATAGGAAAAACGTGGAGGTGTTTGGTCGCTTCTCTGCTAGGCCCCAATTGAATGAACTGGGCTAGTTAAGTGCGATCAAAGTGTCTCGTGGGACAGAAAGATTTAGTGCACGCACTGAGATGAGAGAGGTACTGTATGTATCAACTCATTTTAGTTAAGGGAATAACATATTTTAATATGAAAAAATCGGTAGAGTATTCCTTTAAAACATTGATATTATGGCCACTATTCCCTGTAAGAAGGCAACATATATCACACAAATCTGAGAATAACAAACTGTTCCAAATTTTGGTGACTCAATAAGAATTTATGAGTTCTAATGACGCATTAAGCTATTTTTTAATCATTGCTGTTGTGACACTGTGGCTTTAACAACACCATCAGTAATATTTAAGCTTTATATTAGACATTATGAGTAATTTGTAACCATTTCCAGGTCCCCATTTCAACAAACAACAGATGGCAAAATGAGTTTTTGTTATGAGAAAACTCTTAAAGTTTCAATTTCAAGCAAAACCGCAATTTCACATATGCTCTGATTTAGTACAGAGTACATTAACTACAATATGCGCTATCCCTTTGGTTTTTATACGAGAAGTTATGCCCTAACCAGAGCCTAATATATAGTCATCAATTGAGGTTGGAGATGGCAGGATATTTCTTGCTTTGTCATTTGGGAAAGTCCATGGGTTAGATCTGTTGTCTCATTCAGCAATAACAAGGCTCAACTTTGGTCCAATAGCCCTCGAAGAAAAATACTCCCCACCAAGGGGTGGATAGTCCCTGACCACACAGAATCCAGTAACACCCTTGAACTCACAGATCAGAGGTGGCAAACCACACTTAAGGAAATATCTTAAGAGGCATGAGAAAAGGTGACAATGTCCTGTTGACACCCATTTGTCAATGTTCTTCTTAAGTGTTGCGTATCTGTGTATTACAACTACCATCAAATGTCGTTTTGCACACTGCACAGTTTAATAGCATGGAGAACTGCAAACCATTTGCCTCCATCACTGAAAGTTTTTTCAAGAAAAAAGTGTATCATGCATTTACTTGAATTTACTTGATTAGAAATACAGTCAAACAGTGACATTGTGAAATATTCATAAATTTATCCCTGTGATGGCAACGCTGATTTTTTCAAAATCATTATTTAATGCTGATTTGGTAGCAATGTTGAAAACAGGTTTTGCTGCTTAATGGTCTAGAATTATATTTCTTGTGATGGCATTATATACATTTTGATTGAATTGAAATGTTTCCTTTCAGTCTACTCAGTCCTACTCAATCTATGTGTAGGAATAAAAGGTAGGAATTCTTTCTTTCTTTCTTTCTTTAGAATATCTTCTTTTGTATTTCAAAAAATAAATAAATAAAAAATAAATAAAAAAACAAGAGGAAAATAAGTAAATTTTCATTTTTGGGTGGACTATCGCTTAAATTCAATTTTAAATTAAATATTATTCAGAGACCAGGCTTCAGTACAGCAATAATATAAAATCCTTTTATAATTATGCAAACCAAATATTGTATTTATAACAGTGTATAATTCTGTACATTTTCCTCACACAGTATAAATGGGTCTTTACTTGAAACTAGGCCTAGTTGTCTTTCTGTTTTTGGGTCCCGAGGGGATCATCATATTTGGGTGTATGTAACATAAAAAAAAATCCTTTAACCTACTCTCCCTTTTTCTTATTTCAGCAATAACCGCAATTGTCTATGGTTTCATGTGGCTTTTATATTCAAAGAGAATGGAATGTGTTCATAATGTTCTCAGTAGTTGTGACATGGCTAATGAGGTCCCGCCATCTGTTTATTAACGTTGAGAGAGAGAGAAAGAGAGAGAGAGAGAGAGAGAGAGAGAGAGAGAGAGAGAGAGAGAGAGAGAGAGAGAGAGAGATTCAGTAGCTGTTTGGGTGCAGACCCTGGTTTCCACTTCAATGACTCTAAACACATAAGGATGTTTTAAGTGCGGTGACTTAGACAGAGAGCCAGCTCCCAGCGAGTGTGTGAGAGAGTGAGTGAGTCATTGGTTGCACTGGGCCGCTTGCCCGGGATCAACAACCTCTAAATCATTGGCCTTTGCTATTGGACCACACGAAGTTTCCTTCATTCCCGTCTTTTACTCCGCTTCAGTTTGACTACCTGTCTCTGTTCGTATCGCTCTGTTTTTTTCCCCGAAACGTAGTCACATCCTCCATGTCCCTCATTTTCTTAAAAATAAGCTAAACTCTGGGTTACACCAAAGTCTTTACAATGGATGTGAATGGGACCAATCCATAAACAATAAAATACTCAATTAATAGGTTAGTTAACAATTGTAGCATGAAAAAAAAAACTCATGTATTTCAGTGTGTCCCAATATACAATTTTGAAAATTGGACAATGTAAACTCCAAAATGAACAAAAAGATGCACACAGTGCAATTTCTGCACTCACACATATTTTAAAACACTCAAAAATACACTTACTCACCCTCACTTACTTTCTTCTGTAGAACAATATATTTTGAACTTTATGACAACTTTATGCAAACTCGAAAATGATGGTAAAAATTTTAAACAGCTTTATAGTGCAAATAATGCACAGTTTTTAGCAGAATAAATACTGTAAGTATTTTTTTTAAATAAAATACAAGTTTACATTTCTGCTTTTAAGTCCACAAAAAGTACCTCACCATAAACTTTTGAAAGCAGAAAGTCAAGTCGCTGGATTATTTCAATAACTGTTAACACGACACTTGATTTTTCAATGTTCCCCCTCTTTCATGTTAGAGCCAAAGAGTGATACTTCTTTTTGGGAGCAAGAGTGTAGACATTGCTCTAGGGAAGGAAATGGATCAGTGTGGTGTTGGATTCTGTTCTTTACAGGAAGCACAGTCCTATCAAGAGCACAGATTAGTGATCTGTATGGCAAAACCAGGCCTCTCGAGAGACTCCACCAAAGCGTGACCCAAGCTGTTCCCTGACCTGTGCGTAATGCTGTTTTTTCATCATAGAGGCATTCATTTACCACACACGCACTCCCGACACCACTACCACCCCATCACACGCACACTCACACATGCCTTTCATCATCCATGACC